TTTTTTTGTTCGCCAAATTAGGTCTGCCATTTTGAATTTTTCTAATCCGACTTCAGATTCGTAATCAGCGACCGTGATACCCCCCACCATATTGGATCCGCCATTTTGAATATGGAAACTCTGATGGTACATTGGTATTCAGCGACCCTGAAAACATTAGAAACAACAACAAACTGAATGACAAATTTATTTACGCGTTTACGGACATGACGTTTCCTAAGAGTCGCATCATTTACGTAATACTGAATTTTCAGTTCTGCCACGTCTAATTTGATGTATTATAAATTATCGAGCCTTTTGACATGCTTTACGTTAATTTCTATTCCATAGAAATTTGGGCAGAGCTTTGGTACGTTTGACATAGAACGTCCCAGGATTACAAAAACATACATATCAACATTGGTACTCACTTCGGATGCACTTGTTGCCACAGAACTTAACGGTGACATTGGTGCTGATTGGACCGGACTGGCTGTAGATACGTTGGAGCAATTTACTGTCCTTAGTGAGTTTGTGGGCCCTGATGAACGACCACTTTGGAGACAACTTTTTCCGCCCGTCAAACTTGAGGAATTGCCGCCAACTGAGTTTTTATAAGCGCTGTCGGTTCCAAAACTTTTGACTGAATTTTGGTCATTTGGAAGAAAGAACGGGCAACTACCACCAGTTGCTGCATTGCTACCTCCACCATCTACACCATATGGAGAGGGCGATAGTTGCATGGGATCATCTAGCATTGACGTTGCAGCACTGGGGGTCAGTCGCAACTGAGGTGAATGTGCAGTGTTCAGTTCTCCTCCACCGCCGATATCTGCGAAACCCGAATAATTGTTCGCCTGATTTGGATCCCGATTTACATTCGATATGATTGGTGAGTTCAATGAAGTTTTGTTCTAAAAACGTATTAACATTCCAGTAAATAATTGTATTAATTATTATTATATAGACTAACCTCCCATTCATTCTTGAAAGACTCACTTAGATACTGGCGTACTTGATTTTTTTGTTTTTGTATGACATGATAACGTGTAGGATTTTCCAATACTGTCCGCACCTAAAATATATAAAAAATATGAAGGATTAATATACATACATTAGAGGGGGTATTGTTGTAAATACGTAATATTTTAACCCTGGTTCGAGCTTCGGTGGGAAATTCACCCAGTTTGAGTTTGAATATATCCCATATATATATATATATGTATAACATACATATAAACATAATTTTCATAATCTCTTTAAAACTGCATTTAATAAATTTTGACTGAAATCTTATAATAATTCAGAAACCTACTATATAGACATACGTAAATCGGGCTTTATTCTCATACTTTTGTAACACCGCTATTTAAATCGGCATTTCAAACTTAAAAAAAAAAACTAGATGCCACTGCCCTTTCATGTGACTTCTTTAATCTGATGTTGGAGAAGATAATAAGAGCTGCAGAACTGAACCGCTCAGGAACAATTTACTACAAGAGCGTGCAATTGCTGGCTTATGCCGATGACATCGACATCATCGGTAACAAAAACCGCGAAGTCTGTTCTGCCTTTTCCAAGTTGGATAGGGAAGCAAAGCGCATGGGTCTGGTGGTAAACGAGGACAAGACGAAGTATCTCCTGTCATCAAACAAACAGTCAGCACATTCGCGCCTTGGCACCCACGTCACTGTTGACAGTTACAATTTCGAGAAAGTAGAGAATTTCGTTTACTTGGGAACCAGCATTAACACCGATAATAATGTCAGCATTGAAATCCAACGTAGAATCACTCTTGCCAACAAGTGCTACTTTGGACTGAGTAGGCAATTCAGGAGTAAAGTCCTCTCTCGACGTACGAAAACCACGCTCTATAAGTCACTCATCATGCCCGTGCTGGTATATGGCGCAGAAGCATGGACAATGACAACATCCGATGAGGCGGCTCTTGGAGTGTTCGAGAGAAAGATTTTGCGGAATATTTACGGTCCTTTACGCGTTGGCGACGGCGAGTACCGCAGACGATGGAACGATGAGCTGTATGAGCTTTACAACGATATGGACATAGTGCAGCGAATTAAAATACAGCGGCTCCGCTGGCTTGGTCATGTCGTTCGAATGGACACCGACGCTCCAGCTCTGAAAGTATTCAACTCGGAACCCGCTGGTGGTAGCAGAGGAAGAGGGAGGCCCCCACTGCGATGGAAAGATCAGGTGGAGAAGGACTTGGCTTCACTTGGCGTTTCCAATTGGCGTCAGTTGGCACAGAGGAGAAACGACTGGCGTGCTTTGCTGAACTCGGCCAAAATCGCTTAGGCGGTTACAGCGCCAAAAAAGAAGAAGAAGAAGATGCCACTGCCGGAGCCACATGTTTATTAACGTGGGCCCGAATATCCGCTTTTTTAGAATTTTGATTGGTAATAGCAAAAATATGGTTCCTTATGCTCTAAAAACAATCTGTGTGAAAGATAAAAATTTTTGGTCAGTATCTTAGGCTTGCCCAAGTCCACCAAAGGCAAGTGCTAAAAAAAAATGTCTTAGCTTAGTTCGATTGTCTACAAAAAAGCTATTTATACCAAATTATGTAGGACTAATACTTTTGAAGATACTTGCAATTTTAGTAAAAAAGCTTATTTATTAATTTGTATTTTTTGAGCACATTGAACTTTGATGGACTTCGGCGAGCCTAAGATATTGATCAAAAATTATCATCTTTCACACAGATTGTTTTGAGAGCATAATTAACCATATTTTTGCTATTACCAATCAAAATTCTAAAAAAAGCAGATTTTCAGCCCGCGCTAATGTTTATGTACTATGTACATAAGAATGTAGTATCGGTAGAACTTGATCGGTGATCTGGGGCATTGCCAGCTTTGGTAGTTTTCAGAAAACCAAGTCGTCTAGAAAGAGTTTCCAAAAGAATTAGTTTAACTGCAAAATTTTTATCAAACGGCAAGTGTAAACTGATTCTTCGGAGCTTTGCCCATTCCTGTGTCCCTTGAAAAATTCAAAAAAGTGCTGACGAAGCTGACCAGTTCTTAATCATTAGCAAAATATTTAGAAGATATGATTGCATTTACCTGTAAAACCTGTTTTGGCACATCTACGCCAATACTTTGGAGGGGTCCTTTTAACATAACTGGACTAGAACTAGTACCGGATGATGTAACTGATGGTGGGTGGGTTATATAGTTTTGTTGATTCATTTGCACATCGTTGAAATTCGTTCCGAAACTGTTGGATGCTGGCCTATAACCAATGCCCGTATTATTACTATGACCCATCATATGTTGGGTATTTGATGTTGTTGAATGTAACGGCTGGCTTTGGTGTGGGCTAGGAATCTGTTGTGTTATATAAGACTCAACTTGCTGTTGTAGTGCAGCAGCCTCAGCTGCTGCAGCGGCTCTTTTCTCTGCTTCGCGTCGCTCCAACTCTTGCTGTTGCTGTTCACGTTGCAACTGCTGCTTGAGTTGTGTCCGAGATTTTGGAACAGTTGTCTTGAATGTAGGACTGAAAAATCAAACAAAATTTTATAAAGTTTATAAAGACTTTGATGAGTCTGTCAAGCTTGCCGACAGGTATGTGCATAAGTATGTAAATGTTACGAGTTTAGTATGAAATAGCACAACGTAAACATTAAATGCAAGTGTAAGTAATAGCATGTGTACATATATGTATGTATCTATTAAGCTTCTATTTTTCTTACTACGTATCAATCGTAGGAGCATAAAACGTTTGAATTATCTTTATAAAAAGTACAAATTTATTAATACAAATGCGTATGCAATTCTAGTAAATTTTTGTCAGTAAGATTCTGAGTATTCTTTTTACGCACCCGCCTGTTGACGGCGGTAGGCCAACAACCCTTGGCTCAACCGGCTCCGTGACTGCAATATCACCCAAGTCTACTATGCTCGGATCCATTTCCAATATCATTTCTAAGTCTTTGTCGATGCCTACAGTTACTCTAATGTTACAATCAGATTCAATGGTGTTGTTATTAGAACTAACATTCTGTGATGAGTAAGAGTTTGGAGAAAAAGATTGTTGCCCTTGCTGCAAGGATTGTTCTATTCGCGAACCAATTTGTGCTATTTCATTGCTGCCTTCATCGCAATCCATTAAGGCGGCAGGTTCAATACCAACTTCGATTTCCAGCAAGGGATCAACTTTGCTTATATACTCTCTTTGTTGTATTTGTTCAGTTACTTTTGAACCAAGGGCTTGCTTAGGTTGTAACTGATCGCCTATTTTCAAATCAGTAGTAACATTTGTGGTAGACATTTTCAGAGTTTGTATCCGCTGTAAAAAGTCCTGAAACTCTGTCGAATTATTTCGGGATGACTCATATAAAGTTTTAGGTGACATAGTGTTTCCACAAGAAGAACTATTTTGGCTATTGTTGCTGTCGCCGTGAACTATCTGTGAGTGGGGTTGAACATTGCTAGTTAAAGTTGTGAGCCATGCTGACTTTTCGGTTTCGTCGAATTGCACTGCTGCCTGTGGGGCAGAAGTTGACTGTGGTTCACTATTTTCTTCCTTAATAAGGGATTTCGTAGTAATATAATTAGTATTTTTACCTAAATTGTGTTTGTAGCTTTGGCTATGATTCATATTGGCGTCTTCATTTTCTTGGGTTTTGGTTCTATTTCCCCAATATGAGAACATTTTAGTCAAATTTTGTTTTCTTTAACAAAAATTTCTTTAGACACGTGCGTAGAATGATCGTGATTGTACACACTTAGTAATATTCAGAAGCAAATTTATTACTTAGAACATTAATTGAGAATATAGTTCGCAAAAGAAACAAATATTTGCTTGAGTGCATGAAAATATATACATAGCTATGTTTGTATATCTTAGGAAAGTTTCAAATACATATAAACATATGTATGTATGTGCATGTAATTTTTTACAAAGCAGCAGCACACTAATTATTTTTTTCGATGCCGTGTTTATACACAACGTTCGCGTAATTTACTCCTGTCTCATTTGCACTAATATTTATATAGAAAATATACTTAATGCACTTTCACCTCATTCTCAAATTTTTTATTATACATATGCCTTTCATTGGTTTCATATTAACCATTTAATTTTTATGGATGTACATTTTCACATTCGCATACGCAATTTTATTACTTGAATAGTATTTTTAAATTCTTAGAGGTAAAATTTTCTTTCGGCTGAATAATACAAAAGATAGCCAAGAAAAAACAAACGGACCTTGATCTTGTATTGTGAAGAATTGCCAGTATGTTTTCGATGCGGCAACTTTCGAAGAGAACACTTTGAATACTTTCGAACAGATATTCTATTTAAAAAGAGCTTTGCGGGCCGTAAAACAGGGTAATTAAAAAAAATATAAAATAAAGCCTGGATACAAATGTGTGCATTCTTTTAATTTAAAATTTCTTAAATAACTATAATTTCAATTTCATCCTTTTTCTCGGGTTCAAGCATAAATTGCTTACCCCTTTTGTAATATGTACATATATATGTATACAAAAGTTAAGCGAATATGAATTGGTATTGGGTAGCATTGTATTTATCCTTAAAAATAATTTAACAAATTTTTGACAACCCTATATCCGCAGAGGAAAATACAACACATATGTAGTAATATATGCGCATGATTGGAAAAAATTTAAAAGCTTTTCTACAGTGATATTTCTATCTGTTCAGGTGAAATACAGCATGCAGTATAAAAATTTGAAATGTTTGGTTTAAAAAATTTTGGAACACGTATATATATACTCAGACCAGATTGCTTTGGCAAAAAATCGGGACATTTCTAAAACATCGAATCCGAACTTACAATTTATTTTTAGAATAAAAAAATTTTGAAAATGATCGCAAAAATATATATATATGTATGTACACACAATATATATGGTAGCAAGAATGGAAATAGAGTAAATAAGGTTTTGGCTACTTTTCTTTGTTTAAAATTTGTTTATTATTTTTTTATGACATATACATAGCTTACTATACAAAAAACGATGTAAATCAAAATTTCTAACTTTGTAGAATATTTACAATACGATTTTTACGAATTTTAACAAATGTTGATCAAACTTTTAAAGTTTTCAATCAGATTTTCAGAATTTTTTAGCATGCAGTTTTGTTGCCCATTAAAATTTTAGTATAACAAACTGCAAGTTCGAAGTAGCTTGGACTTGCCGTTGATTTTCGGTAATTTTTTGTTCGCGCATTTTCTTCCATACAAAGTCTGCTTACCAAAAATCAAAGGTAGGTCCAAGCTACATAAAATTTACACTTTGAATTGAATGGGCTAGAAAACTGCACACTCAGAATTATGCTAAAAAAAAAAACGAATTAAAAAATCAGCATTAAATATTTAATCGAAAGGGGAATAGCCAAAGAATACTTAAAAGCGTCTTCCCTATTTAGATATATTTTCGCCACTGTATTCAAGTTAGAATCGTTTCATTAAAAACAAACAAAAAACAAATAATTACAAAAACCTTAATAACAAATAAAAAAATAATAATAATGACTGAAGTGCATATAGCGAGAATACCAGTTTAACAGAATAAAACATAACCAAAGATCATAGAAAATAGGATGTTCTTTGTGATAACGTTGGTACGAAAAAATACATATACATACATACGTCCCGACTTTTAAAAAGTATTCAGCGGGACAATTTTCTCAAAATCGGTACTGTCCCGTCAAAATCGGTATGAATGGTCACCATACATATATAAGTATGTTAACGCTATTAATACGCGATAACACTAAGAAATAGTAAAAATTTAAATTTTATGTAAAAATGAAAATTTTTACAATTATTATTTTTTTGCATCTTCAACCTTTACAAATTGGTAGCTAGTTTTTAAGGCGGAAACCATTGCAGGCCTGTGTAATCGTTTGATAAGGACAAAAGTCCCATTTCAAACGGTTTTACAGAATTTTCGATCGAAGAAACTATTTTTAGGTTGTTATCGGGGAAGGGATTTTATGGAAATTGCCTTTCTTTCTGTTGAAGAGATAGAGTATATTCGATTAAGAATGTCCACGATTTAGCTTTCCCTGATTCCATATATACATACTTGATGTTGTGTTTTTTAAGATATTTGCTTTTTTTTTGCCTATTGTACCTTTAAAAAAGTGATTATAGCGGGGAAAACGCCCTTATTCCACTTGTATCAACTCACGTCGAGCACACGTTTAGTACATTCAAGGCTGTGTTGAAGCCTGTCTGTTGTTACAAAAAAATCAAGTTGACAATAAAGAAAATCGATGGATAAATAAAAAAGTACTAAGTGGTCATATGAAAATGCGCAAAGATTGTTTGTACGAAAAATGAGCAGGAAAGAATGTTACTCATACGTCATGTACACCTGAAAATATCTCGAAAACATATCCATAGAATAAAAAATTAACTCGATTTTCGGAATCAGCGAGCAATTCTATATGGGAATTGGATATGTAGTGGCGTTCTTTGAACATTTTTCCTATAAACCAGTGCTATTTTCAAGCTTTTGTATTTTTTTAGTGCCTTCTTTTGCCTTTTTTGCTATTTCTAATGCCTTTTCTTGCCTATTTCGTTAATTTATTTTGCCCTTTTTTTATAGGTTTTTAGGCCCTAAATATGCGTTCCCTGGTTATTATGCATAAATATTAGTCAGTCCTTCTTTTATGATGCGTACGAAATTCGTAGTGATATCTGTCAATTAATTAAGGAGTAGCACGTCCAAATGATAAAACCTTATAATCAAATAAATCATTGCCCGTTAATGAAAACGTATCGGCCGAGAACATAGTCGCTGTCCGTGAAAATGGACTACCGAGCCCGAGGCAGCCAAAGGCTTTTTGTGGTTATAGCAGAACTATGCAACGCGCCACGAGGCGGATGCAATGATAGGCATTCTGCGTGTACGATTTCAGCACTTGAGCTCCTTAAAATAAAAAATAGGTTTTTGCTAATACCTCTCACGCGGCTTTTTTTATTCCATTTTAACAAAAAAATATTATAAATTAAAAAAAAAAAAATTTAAATAAATAGAAATTTACATAGATATGTATATTCGTTTACGTACATATGTATGAAAGTGCGTACACAAGTATGTGCATGTGTACAATAAAATCCATTTCTTAAAAAAATGCCAACACTCATGGAATAGATAAAGTTTACTTTTGTTGGTTTTTGATGAATGAGGGAATTAGAAATGACCGTTGTTTACTGTATAATGTGAATCTCCGTAAAAAAATGTGTATAATTATCTAAGTATTACCATTCAGTGAGTTTTGAGCAACGATTACCTACACTTGCATATATTTCTAGGGTTGCCAGACGTTAAACACTTTGAGAGAAAAGCGCAAGCGGCACGCAAATCTTTGTCGGTTACTTTATTACATATCTTCTGTAGCCATAGGCCAATTTCCCCCATTTGAGTCCTTTATATTCGCTTTTTTGTCCAGCATAAGGCTTCATACTCAGCAATCGAATAGGCTTGGAACTGGTGACTAGGAGGCCATTCATTTGGCCAACTCTATACAGTTTTTTTCTTTTTTTTTTACACAAAGTTTACGAAGAAATTCACCTGAAAAAGAGATGTACTTATCTACCAAAGCTGGCAAACGCAAATAAGGATTCAATTTTAAAACATAAAATTAAAGTTAACAATAAAACACTTTTCTCGCAAAATCCATAAAAAAATTTAACTACTTCTTTTATGTTTTACAGCTTTTTTTTATCGAAAATAGAAATGTACTCCTTTCTCCGTTTCAGAATCTGGCAACCCTATATATTTTGGATGTCTTTTAAAATCCCTTCATTTCGAGTGTATGTAAATGAATTATATTTATAAACATAGCTACATACTTAAACCCTGTTAGTACTCTCTTTTAAGTAATGTGCATTTATATATACATAGTACGTATTTATGTGTTACAGCAAACGAGTATCAAAAGAACACTACGTAAGATAACGAAATACGCACAAAACAGCGACACAAAGTCGACGAGTTGAGCCAGGTCGGTTAAATAAATAAGCAACCGGAGGCGAAGTGTAGCAATGGGAAATGATTACACTATTGTTAGTGAGCTCTGGGGTAAATACTTTAGGGAATTTTTAATTAGGGACAAACCCTTAAAAGTATGTGATTTATGTATGTATATGTATATTAAATAAATTGATGTATTACTCACATTGATTGTAAAACTATTTATGTCAATTGTTTTTAACTTATTAATCACATAAGCTAATCGCATGGTTAGTAATACCAACAGGGCTGTTTATGTGGCTAAAAGGAAAATTTAACGGAGTTAAGTGTTCTTTAGTTACTCGATTGCACCAGAATGAGGTTATACTTATTGTTAAACATTTACTTTGTTTATACGAGGCATTAATTTGCGTTAGCTTAAATCGTTTAATTTTGATACAGACGTACATAGTTATATGCTGCTTTTTTTCGAATGGATTTTTTCTAATGAATGCAAAATGAAAAACAAGTAAGAAAGTCTAAGTTCCGGCGGAGCCGAACATTAAATACCCGGTGCAAGTATTAAATATAGTTTTTTTTTACCTGTCCGAAAACCAACGCTACATGTTAAGCAGGGGTGGATTTACCCTATTTCAAACATTTTCGATAGAACGTTCAGTTAGACATAATGAGATAAACTTATGCAGTCATATGGGGGCGGTATCACGCCCATTTTCCGAAATTCCAAATAATTTACTTCTCTTCAAGGTATTGTTGTTAGTATCAATTTTGAGTAAATTAGCGTCCTTAAATTTCGAAATGTCGAAGTTTCAAGCATATCTGAAATTTGCCGTTAAAGGAAAAGTGGCCGTAATTTTGGTTTCAAACGATTTGCTCTAAGGTGGCAAGCACAATAATCATACCGAGTTTGGTACATATTGGTCGAACGGTTACCGAGATACATATATGAGATCATAATGATCATATTGTTTTTGAATAAATTAGCTTCAGTATTTACTGATTTATCGAAGATTTCGCATTTCTCTAAATTACCGCTGTATGGGATGTGGGCGTGGTTATTATCCGATTTTTTTAATTTTCAGCCATTTGCTATGTTGTACCAAGGCCCAACAACTGTGCCAAGTTTGGGAGAAATTGGTGAAGCGGTTACCAAGATATATACACATGTAATCATAAGTGGGCGTGGCTACGTCCATTTTCCAAAAATTTATAATACTCCTATTTTTCTCGTCTAAAAATCATTGTAAATATCAATTTTGAGTGAATAAGCTTCATTTGTTACTAAATTATCGCAGTTTTCGTATTTCTAAAAACTGCTGTTATATGGGAGATAGGCGTGGTTAATATTCGATTTCGCCCATTTTCAATACCATCCGTCCTACGCCCGAAAGAAGTACACGTACAAAGTTTCGTAAAGATATCTCAATTTTTACTCCACTTATGGTGTACACAGACGGAGGGATGGACAGACAGTCACCGCTTAATCGATTTCTCTTTTCATTCTGATCATTTATGTATACATTTGTCTATATCTAACTCGATTCGTTTTGCCTATTACAAACAACCGTTATGTGAACTAAGTTATAATACCCTTGTGCACAAGTGCGCTCGGGTATAAAAAAGCAGCTGATTGTGTTCACACTTCTTTCGGTATTTATAAACTATAGCATTTTACGTCCTCTATACTGACACGAGTTTAAAGGAACCGTATTAAGCATCGTATAAACAAGGTAGTTGTTATTTACATATAGACAATCCTGAAAATTGAGAATAACAAAAAATTAACAAACTTTTCTTACATGTCATCGAATCGCACTGAACGGGTCGCGGACTTTAGCTCATAGAATTCTACATTATCCGTCCTCCCAGCAACTTGAACTTCAGTTGATAGTAAATCTAAGTCTTCGATGGGAAAATATTCAAGATCGAAATCCATATTTATGCCGGATTCTGCCATCGTCGAGCTAAATGCTTCCTACGCCGGTTTTACTTGTGGTGAGTGGAAAATTTCAAGTTTTATTTTACTCTGAGTTGACTAAAGCACAAAAGTAATTTGATTGCTGACAACTTGTGGTGAGTTGATGAGCATTGATCAAAATACATTGGTGTGCGATATCTTTTTTCATTTTATTCTTTGCTCAGTGATTCGTTATTTGTTTGGCGGCTTAATTAAGAAGAGTTTCAAACTCTGCCTTTGGAAATCGACAATTAGTGCCAATAAAATCGATTTGAATGTCTTGCTCAACACTTGTTTATCAGAATGGGGTCTACAATGCATAATACATAAGTATGTACTTGTATTAGTATATGTATGTATGTATGCTCCACTAACACACATAAAACCACGTGTGATTAAGCTGCTGAGTACTTGCTAGTTACTATGGCTGATTGCTTGTCTCAGAGTAAATGCTTGTCGCCTTTATCATGTTTGTCGAAGAGCGAGTTTTCTTTTTCTTTGCTAACATCACATTATATGAATTTGTTTTGTTTGCTTGTTCACAGGTATGGATAAATGTATGAAAATATGTAGTAGCAGTTACTTGGCTCTCTTTACACATTTTCACAACTTCACTGAAATTTCGGCGGCCATCTTTAATTCTATTTTCATTTTTATTATACTGTAAGTTTGCATGATCACTTGTAGCTGCGCCTCGCACGAACACAACTGCGATATTCACACCAATAGCCTATCAATGTTATTTCGAACTCGTAAGTTATTTGGCAAGTTGAGAGTGCGAGCGTAATAGCTGTCGCAACCACTTCAGGCTTCAAAGCTGATATCGCCAATAAATTGTCTAAACATACAACTATGACCATTTATGACCAACTTTTATACATACATACATATACACATACATACATATATACATATGTACATCTACATTTTTAACATGATTTATCAGTGCCCTAAGGGGCGATCTTTCTTCCATTGATTTAATAATTTCATTGTTGCACAGCTTTTAGTTCACGATCACTTTTGTTAATTTCCATCTACTCCGCACTAGCTTTCTGTTATTTTCATTTTGATTGCCGTCTACTGAATTTATAAAACCGATTTTTACATATCCGACACCTAGTGACAATCGTCCGTCTGTCTACTAGCGAAACCGGGCAAAGATAAAGCATTGAGAGAATATTTACTCGTAGCACCCGTAAAATAAAAGCAACGGCTTTGGAGTGAGCTTTGATTGTTTTAACTCACCTCAGTTAGTGGTGGGTACGAACCAAACGAGTACGAGTACAGAGGAAATTAGACAAATAGGTATTATCAATTAATTGATAGCAAGAATTTTTCAATGCTCATAAATGCTTATGAGTACCTAAAGCGTCACGTGTTGTTCAATACCCGGTATATTGTGCTTAAGTGCTTACAGATGGAAGATTCCAGCTTCTCATTTTGTCTAAAGCTTACTTACTCAATGTAAGTAAGTAAGTAAGTTTTAAAAGTAACGTACTTATATACATGTTTATGCTCCAGGTTGTTGTCGTTTTTGACGCATCGGAAATATTAGTTTAAAGTATTTTCAACATTAAATAGGTTACTCTTGTTGACATTCATTCTCATTCATTCAAATTAAATATATTTACTCATATACATGTATGCAAATATCTGAAATAAGCTTAGTTATGAAATTAGAGCTTACTAATGTAATGCTAATATAGCGAAAATGCTTATAAAAGTGCTTTCGATGTGAACCCATAAACAGAAAGTGTGTAAAAGCTTTAAGCTCAAATTGGCAAATAGATGTCCTATAAATCGAATGCTTTATTTCTTGGGCTTAATGCTTTCGATGTTATTATACAAAAATTAAATCATGAAAACAAAACACCGGACTATGACCGATATTCTAAACCTCGTGGCGTTTCGTCTTATAGAAGCTGTTGAGGAGGAAGGAAAGGCTTTGCTTTCTGTCTTAAAGTGAACCCTCTTATAAATTCGGAATGATTTCGATTTAATTTTGGTGTGAGGATTCTTTTATAATAATAATAATAATAATAGATTGGAGCTTACACATATGTTAGTGTTTGGCCGAGCTTCTCCTCCGATTTGTGGCGTGCGCCTTGATCTTGTCACACAAAGGAGTGCGCGCTTCCACTCCGCAGCGCCCGAGTTCAAGGCCTTGCCAAAGCAACATCCCAAAAAAAATGTTGAAAAAAGGTTTTTTCTTAACAGCGGTCGCCCTCGGCAGGCAATGGCAAACCTCCAAGTCTATTTCTGCCATGAAAAACAGCTGAGGATTCTTTTACTATCCTGAAAACTAGTCAAATTGCTCTTGTTAACAGTGTCATGGCATTTACTTATTAGAAAGCAGGGCGAACCAAGGTCCTTATATGTACATACATACATACATATGTATGTACATATGTATGGGTATTTTCCTTTGACATTTAGTATAGATTTCTAAAGTACTGAACTACGTCAATGTCAATGTCAAGAGTTTATTATGCTCCTTTTTTCACCCTACCCTACCCAGAATTAATACCAACATTACTTATTACAAACGTTGACTTATATACGTATGCATGTACATATCTACACACATCTGTATGCATCGTATGTACCTATGCACGTGCATACACACAAACGTATAACAATCAACTAGTACGGTTACCGGTGAAGTGAACGTCACTGAAACCTTGAAAAATTCCACCCCTAAAGCCCACGTTTTTTTCGAAAAGCTACTGCGCATGCATAATTCTTCCCATCAACGTCATATACATATATATATTCTCTTAGCATACACTGGTGTGTATTTGTACATACGACAAGATTTAAGAAGCTTTGAAACAACTGGAAAATAAGTTCAAAGCAACCTAGGGAATACATATTACAATACGGTCAAGTACAAGGTTTTCGTATGATTCTCAGTAGGGTCATGGGCGGCTAGAGGCTATTGCCGTTAATATACAGGTTATGTGTGTACATCAGGATGATCCGAAATTAGTAAAGCCGGAATTTTAATGCTATCATCCCCTAGGTTTATTCTATATCGAAACAAGTATCGAAAAGAAGTATAAGTTCGGGCGAATCCGAACTGCATATGCCCGGCGCAGGTATCAAACATCGTCGTTTCAACTGTCTCTGAACTACCTTTGCATGATAAGTTTTCGATAATATGCAGAGTTAGACTTAATGATATAATTGAACCAAGCTAGGCACTAATCGATAAAGTGGTTACCGAAATACACCTTTGTAGTCATAAAGTGGGCGGGGCCACGCCCAATTCCTCAAAGTCTATAGCAGTCTTATTTATTGTTAGGGGATTGTTGTAACTATTAACTTGGAGTAAATTAGCGTCCTCAGCTAGTGAAATATCGCAGTTTTCGTATTTCTGAAATTTACCGTTATATGGGAACCGGGTGTAATTTTAGTACGATTTGAATCATTTTCAACAAATTGCTTTTCTGTACCAAGGTTATTAAGTGCACCGAGTTTGGTGGAAATTGATAAATCGGTTACCGACGGACGGACGGACAGACATGTCTTAATCGATTTCTCTTTTCATTCTGAGCATTTATGTACACATTTGTCCATATCCATCTCGATTTTCTTAGAAATGGTATAGAATTCTTGAAACTCAATATTTTTCGATCAAAAAAA